TATCTATATGCTTAATGGATAGGACATAATTTTTCAAATTTTGTTAACACTTTTTTTCTCCTAAAATAAATAATACATTTTTACAAATTGAAACTTTACAAAATGTTATTTTTTACAGATTCAAACTTTGTATAATTCCATTTTTTTTTTTAATTTTACAATCATTTTAAATAAAAACTGAAAAATAAACTATTAAATTCACACAAAAAATGTATTATAACTTTCGTAACATCAGCAACAGTTTTTGTAAGCAGACATTTATTTACCCATGACTCTAAAAATAAAGTCTTGCATAAATTTAAGTAAAAGATTTGTCTTATTATTTAAACAAAAAAAATAGGATTACAGACAAAAAAAAACAATTTAATTTATAAGATGCTGTAAACCTGAAATGCATTTAAATGTTGAAACTGTTTTTAAAGTTTTTATGAATGAAGAGGGGAAAAAAAGCTCTTTCGCCAGTTGAGAGTTTTCGAGATGTTAGAAATAAATAAATTTTTTGTGTGTTTAACTTTCCAACACAACAAAACTTTTTAGAAAGAACACTTCATACAACCAAGATTAATGTACTTAAAATGAAAGAAAAAAAATCACTTTCGCGTTGCTGAATTTTAGAGTTTTTCTATCTTGATCTTCTAAAGTAGTAAAAAATTTAGTTGATTAACATAATTTATTTCAAAAGTTAGATTACCGCATGTGTTTAAAAAAGTGTTTCCAAAAAAAGAAAGTTTTTTTTTTTGCTCGCAGAATCAAGTATTGATTTTGTTTTCCTAAAGAAAATGTTACAGCTTATTAATAATACATATTGATTTTTAAACCGTGTGAAAGGAAAACAGGCTGAATGTAACATGTTTTGTTAAGAAATAATTTTTCTAATATTTGAGCAACAAACAAACGCATTTTTCATGCACTACATAATACACAAATAGATTTTTCCTGCTTCTTTTTATGGCAGCTACTTCATTTTACTAAACGAAGTTTGACGTTATTTCCAAGATAGCTTTTTTTTAAAAATTATTTTGAAAATGACCCAGAATTTTGTGGTAGCCCAAATTGTAATGTAATAAATTATCAAAAGTAGTTAATAACTGTTAATTTAGTTGTTAATTCAAGAAGGGATGGTTTCTTCTGAATACTTTTTTTTTTAAATTAAAGTAAAATTATTAAGTTTTTGGTCATTTATACAATTTATCCTTTATCATCAATGAATCTAAAAATTGCACAGTTTTGGAATCGTTTTACGGTTTTTTATTTTAGTAGCTGTTCAACAAAACAAGGCATATCGAGCATTTTCCTGATATAGCAATACATTTTTGAATTGTTCTAAATTTGCGCAATAATATAATTAACTTTTTAAGCAAATATTTTCAACTTTTTAGGAAAAAAGAGCAACTTTCTTGAAGTTAGCGGGCAGGAATAACTTTGAACGTCAAAATAAAATAGTATGTCCATAGTTTTTTATTAATTTAAAAAGTTTTTTATTCATTTTTGATGTGCACATATACGCATTTACTTTTCATGACTCAAATAAATAAGAAAAAATAAAAAAAAGTCAATCAATAATTTATCTTCATTTTTCGAATACAATAGTATAGTCAGTGAGTAAATAGTCAGTAAATAGTCAGTAAATAGTAGTAACAGTCAGTAAATAGTTTATAAATAGTAATGCTTAGTAAATAGACAGCCGTTCTGCATCGAATGATTTTGATCAGTAAAATATTTTGAATTAATCTCTTAACAAGATTTAATTCTCAATGAGGCTATAATTCTAAGTTTTATTCCATTAAAAACTTAACAATAATTTAAAAATGTATTTTATTTTAAGGGAAAACATAAATTATGTACTAAAACTATTGATTAGTATATTAATGGAAAAATAACATACATGGTAGAGTAAAGAATAAGATTTCGAGAAATAATGAAATTTTATTAAATAGTTGAAAAAATGATTCTACGAAACACGCTTAGACAGGTAATTAATTTATTTCAAGATTAAGACGATATATAAGATGTTGAGAAATTTTAAGAAGACTAAAAATGTTGACTACGTATTCTTATTAATAATTATAAAACGTATATTGAAAAAATTGATAAACATATTATTCTAAATCTATGCATATGCTTGCATCAATTATTCAATTATTGAATATTAATTGTATCAATTCTTGGAAGAACAAATTAACAATTAAGATAAAAAAAGCTGATGTGTAATTACATTCTATCATAAACATGCTGTTATGAAACTCAACATTCGTTAATAAAATGATTTTATGCAATACAATATTATAATATAATATAATACATACCTGCCAACTTTTACGCATTTGGCGTAAAATTTTATTTCTATATTTAAAGTGGTAGTAAAATGTGTACTTTCTATGTATTCCTTGCATTTAAAAACTTAATTTATAATCTGTTTGACCACCACTATTTTTAAAAAAATTAAGCATATATACTAATATGCATTGCTGTCCTGATAGTCCATACAAACTTTTATTAAATACAGTATACGCTTCCGCCAAAAATTATAGTTTAAATTCCATTAAACTACCCCTGGGTAAAATCATCCTCGAAAGGATTAAAAGTTGGCAGGTATGTATAATATTATAATATAATATAATATTATATTATAATACTTGAATCTATTTTTTAACGCATAAATAGCTGAAAGTATCAAATATTTGGTTGGAAATGTTGCCTTTTTTTTATTTNGGTGGTCACATTAATGTGACTGGACTGTGTATATATATATATATATATATATTTATTAAATTACGAATAAATTTTAGAAAACTAAAAGAGAAACATTTCTTAATTTCGCATTTTATAATTTAAAAAAAAAGGATTAGCAATCGGTTATTACCAAAAAAAAAAAAAAAAATATGAATGAAATTTTACACTACGCGAGCGTAAATCAAGTTCCTCGTAAGTTAACCATATTTAAAGATTAATCGAACTTTTAAACATTTCTTCATTGTCGCCAAATTATTTTTTTAAGAATTTTTCTCGCCTTGTTTCAAATTAAAACTGTGGAAACTATAGATTTTGCTATAAAAATACTTAGATTAATACGGTATAGAAAATTTATATCTCATAGTTCAAAATTTTTTCACCCACGATGAAATTAAATTGTAAAAAATAATGAATAATTATTCAAAATTATTTTTTGCATGAAATTATCTTCGGGTAAATGAGTTTTATAAGTGAGAGCAATTCCTTTTAAATTGCAATTTTTAAAAATTGCTTAAGTAGTTTAAAAAATATGACTAAAAACGTAAAAAGTGAAATTAACAGGAAGGGGTTCAAAATTTGGATCGCTTTCCTGACCAAACTATGGGGACTATATTTCCCAGATTGCGACTGTCCCTTATATATTGAAGGTTAAGAATTCAAACATGTTAAAAAAATATACGTTTATTCAGAAAAACTCCGCTTTTGTGTCCGGTTTCTTAACTTAATTAATAGTTGACACTAAATAATTTACATATTTGAAGTCATCCCCAGGCACCATTAAGATTGATGTTTAGTACGTGAAAATCTGATCATTAGAACCGCTATTCAGGGTGATATCTTGTTTTTTTGACGACTGTACCTAAATATCACCATACTGCACTTCCATGACATGGCCTCTAATACACAACCTTTATTTTTTATTATTTCATGAATATTCCGGTGTAGTTTAATATTATTAGATTTACCGATAATATGATATAGAATTTTAACATAGTAAAGGAAAGATTTTTTTAACACATAGTATCATTTGAAATGTGATAATCAAATTTTACACCAATTTTTTCATGGCCTATGGCTTTATCTATAATTTCAAATTAACTTGATAGGCTCTTAAATAATTCACAAAAAAAACTTATGTTTGGTTTATTAGAGCTACAAGATAGCAACTATCACTCATATAATGAAATATTGATCAAATCCTCATTTTTGGGATTGTGAACTGGTGATCGGAGAGAGTTTTAAAGTTATGATCGTCAGGTTTTCGATGTGCACTAAATTTGGTGAGAGCCAGTAAAGAATTGCGTATTTGTAAACGGTGCGTACATAAGTACACACATAAACCCTTCTGCGTAATTTATATAAAATTTTTACTTGATTCCTATTAAAATAAGATACTAGTTCTTTACACCTAAGACATTAAAAATGCTTAAACAGTTGTTTTATAGATACATTTGCAAATATTTTGTATTACTGAAGTATAACAGATTATTTCTGTTTTTTAATAAATAAACAATTTACCAATAGCAGTTTTTCTTTACCACATCACATAATTTCAGGATGTGTTGCAATTAGTTGAGTGCTAATTTTTTTTTCATTCAGCCCTATTGAAACTTTAAGAATATTATGTTGAAAATGTGGAGTAGGAAAATTTAGAATTGTACTTCTAACGAAACGTAAAGCACTTCATTATTAAAATATGAAACTTGCAGTTTAAAAAGCTTTTTCCTTATGATACTTAGCTTGTTACAGCTTCAAATGTTTACTTATAGATTTTTGTATATTTTAAGAATTTTTTGCATGAACAAAAACTCTTACTTATCACTAAGATGTGATAGTTTAATGTGATAATTGTGATAGATTATCATAGTTTAATGCCTTTACTTATAACAATTTTCTTATAAAAACTGGCTTGGAAAGATGGTTCCCTTAGCTATATCAATTATTTTAGAAATTAGAAACAAAGCAGAACTTAGTTTGGGTAGCATAAAATTACTTGTACAGTTAAAATAAAAGTGAGGAATTAGAAATGCCTTAAATGTATTTTCTTGGTTGTAATTTCTTATACTGGTGAATTATGGATACATTATAATAATGTATATAATAATATTCTATAATAATGTGTAGAAATCATATAAGAAATCATATTAAATTTAAAAATGTCCGTTATATTTTATTTTTGCTTGGTATGATATCACTTTAACTGGGACACTCAAATATATTTGAAATATCATGCAAGAATATATGTATAAGAGAGAAAAAACACTTACTTTTTGTCTTCAGATTGATTAGACCCTAGAAATAAGGAAACGAGAGAAAAATTACTAAAGAGAAGAAATTACATTCAAGCTAAAAATTTTAGATTTTTTTATTGAAACATCCTTTCATAATAAGAAAAATTAATCAATTAACGTGAAATTTAATTTAGAACAGAACTTTAAATTTTTGGTAGAATTACAATGACATGAAAAATATTTGTACTAATATGCAGTCAAATTATTCCATTATATTTCTTTTAACAATTGAATCATTATTCCCCAGTTTGTATTGCTCTGTTTAAATGTGCAATATAAGTAATCTAGATAAAAATCCAAAAGAAGTTTTTCTCATTATTCTTATCGCATTAATTATAATAAATAAGGTTTTCCTTTACTTGCATTAAATCCATTTCCCAAGACACAATAAAAATTGAAGAAGCATAGTAACACATAAAACTATCTATCTTTTATTTTGTTTGCATCTAATTTTGTATAAAATTGAACATTAACTTGTATAACGTACAAATTAGCATGCCTAGTGAGCATTTTGACAGAAGGCTTTTGTTTGAAACTTTAAGAAAATAATTGCTTTGATTGAAACTTAAAATTAATTATACAGGATTTAAATTCAAAAAAAAATTGTATTTCACATTAATATTTAACTTGCATTTCTTTACTTTACAATCTTGTATACAATTTCAAATAAAGAAGCATTCTTTGTCATTTAAATGTAATCATGTTAATTAAAGGAATATATATACTTTTACATTTTTTAAAGCTAACTTTTATACAAGCTGTTACTTGTATAACATTCTAATTTACAAACAATGGTCAGACCGTTATTTAGCTGAAATTTGCTATCTACAGTGTCTATAACCAGTCACGAAAATTTTCCCGAAATTTATTACAAATTCAATGACTTTTGAACTAACAAATTTTTATTATATAATTTTTTAAATTAATCTAATCTCTGTTATCTAAATATTTTTCAACGTGAAATNTTCTCCATATGCAAAAAATTTTAAACCTGTTAAAACATTCAAATTTACAAACAATGGTCAGACTGTTATTTAGCTGAAATTTGCTATCTACAGTGTCTATAACCAGTCACGAAAATTTTCCCGAAATTTATTACAAATTCAATGACTTTTGAACTAACAAATTTTTATTATATAATTTTTTAAATGAATCTAATCTCTGTTATCTATATATTTTTCAACGTGAAATTAAAGAAGATTATTCTTAAATATGAGAAAAATTTCAAGCGTTATCCATTAATAGAATGAAACATAAATCGATGTGATTACTACACTATCAATCGTGAACGAAAACAATTTCAGACATATCATACAAAGTTCACAATTTCGCGAAAATATATATGTTGTATGTATATGTATATGTTGCATGTATATGTATATGTTGTATATATATGTTGTATGTTGCATGTAAATGTATATGTACAACTGAAATATACATAATTGTATATTCTGCGTTATTTTGTACATTGTAAAAAGTATTACAAATAACACAAATTTGAAAAAAAAAGTATGAGTAAAATTTTTAAAAATCAGTATATGCACAATGATATGTTCATTAATGTTTTGTGTATCGCATGTTGCAAGTTTTTATAGAATTATAAGCTTAAACATCGTAAAATTTATTAATTCCATGTACGATAGTAGAAATCATCTTCATACTTGTTTTGAAATTAAAAATTGTAAATTTTCAAACTTATTTATATTGCTTATTACACGTATTATAATTAAGGAATTAAATAAGTAAAAAAAACAATTCGTTTCTAGAAAAATTTTCATTAAGAGAACGATTTAATTACATGTTGGCAATTGCTATCTTAAAGAAATTTGCATGAAAAATATGCTTTTATGTGCATAAAAAATAAAATTATAAGAATTTTCTTATAAGTATTGGTATTTTTTGCATTCTTTACTTTCTTCTAACTGTGGAAGAAGAAAACTTAAGGAAATACTGTTGCCACTTCTAGCAAAAAATATTTATTTGCCCAAAAGAACTTTGTTTCGCGAAGTATAATGTCAGGAGACGTGTCATCCATCAATATCAAGCAATTGATAGCCGTTCAATTTTGAGAGAAGAACCATCATTTCGGCTCCGAATATTGATTACTGAACACTATTTTTTTTTCTAAACATATGAGGAAAATGAATAAAAAAAATAAATATTAAAATCGGATGGAAAAAAGGGCTTTTCTCTCAACAAAATCTTCTTATAGCGAGACAGAAGAATTTGCGGCTGTCAGGAAAAAAGATCCTGAAAAATGATTTTTGTAGAAACGTTTTATCACGCGTTTTCTACATTTATTTAAAAATTATCAGTGAAATCTTATATGTTTAAAAATACTTTTTCTTCAAAAATTCCAAAATCAAAACATTTATTTCAGTTACTTTGTTTGGGACGATTTTATGCGTTATAACCTTAATCATGGCTTTTTACATACGATTTTAATAAAATCTATATCCTCACAAATTAATATTTAAACTAGATAAAAAAAAAATTTGAAAAATAATTGCTAAAAATATTTGTGTGGTGGATTTAAAAGCAAGTGGTAATTAAAGCTGACTGCCAAAAACCACTTCAAGCTTCATAATTCAAGCAAATAAGATTTGAAAAGATTTTAAGAAATGTTTTCTACAGGTTTTTTAATGCAAGAAATAATATTTTTATTCATTTTTTAATACTAACTCAAAATACTATTTTAATACTAGCTGTAAAATCAAAGGCACCCAAAACCTAATATATCGAGTTTTTCCATATGCAAAAAATATAAAATTATGAAAGCAAAATAATGACAATTTGCACCGTTTCAAGTATGAGCATGAATTTTTAAATGTTCAAGCATGGTACATGGAGAAAAAATTCTGATATAGGTGAGAGTCGGGTACCCCCGCCCACTGTCAATTTCATATGTGTAGAATATTTTTTTAAGTCAATGGGCCATCGGATATTGATTGTTATATTAAGAAAAGATATTTTTTTCAAAGTTTCAAGTATTTATGCAGCTGGTAACATGGTAAACAATAGTTTTGAAAATATGTTGAATACAGTAGTCATGAAATTTAGAATAATTGATTGAATATTTCGATTAAGCTTCATTTTAATACTAAAAAAATAATTTTTTTTATACATACAGCATTAAAGTATGTAGTCTTAAGTTTAATTTGCACAAAGAAAGAAGTTTAGCATAATTTGACA